GGTCATGTACCAATGTGTTTTGCGGTAAGTATTTTATTTATTATTTTCAGTTTATTAACACTAGAAGTTTTTTTTAGAATACAACATATCTAGTATTTATAAGTTTCTATATCCTCGTGACTTCACACATAATTTAACATTCAATTCCAATAACAAGTTATCATTTTATCTGAATAGGAGACACAACTTCTTGTTTATATTCTGGAATTTATTATCAACAAGGAGAATCAAGACCACAAGGCTGTAATGAATGGTGGGATATTTATTACTTATTTATCGTTAATTAAATTAACAGTGAAATACCCAATATTGGCCTACATATTCATTATGAAATTGAACTATTATGCTAATGAGGCATATATCACATTCAAAGTCTTGTTATTTAACAAACTGTACAATCAATACTAATTAACTTTGATTGTTATTTGTACTATAGTTATTGTAATGAGAAACAATGGACATGTACAAAGATAGAATGTTGTAAGTATGCTTATTTGCTACGTTATGTTATCGTATGTAATGTTAATACACATTTTGCATAGACTAAGATGTCATTACTAATGCATTGTTGAATAATCTGTGTGTTTTTTTCATTTTTTATCTAATACGTGCGAGTAGCTGATACAAATATAGTGTGAGTATAGTGAAATTCATTTGTTTCTATTTTGTACAAAAGAGTACGTTAGCTGTATAAGTATTTCCATTCTTAGCGCATTTTTAGTATTTGTGAATTCATGCACAAGCTGATTGTTGTTTTTCAATTCGTTCACACAGAGTCATTTTGGTCACATTTGATCTGGATGGAGATTTTGATGCCATTGCGATGGAGAAAGAAGAATATAAAGAGTACGTAACGAATGAACACATGCATAATTTTAAGGATCGTATTCGTTTTACTATGTTTATGTGCATGTAGACGCATGTTACAATTTCAACGATTCAATGATATATCACTTCGATTCGATTATTTACTTTCATAACGTTATTTGTATATTTACAGTGAACTGACAGACAGCATATCTGCGAATTTTCAGTGTCCGAAGAGTATGATTCATAATATGAAGGTAAACATTTAGTTATTATCCCACATCATACTATAATTCTAATCAAGTCAGTTTAGTTCATGAAATTGTCTGTCTGCGTTAATACATTTAATTTGCTCATGCTGTTGTTTTTTCAGCTGACAAAGGGAAGCATCCGAGTAGAATTTGTTTTAACAAAAGATGCAAATCAACCTGGTGTAGACATTGAAGCCATTGGTTCTAATATGGAGAAAAAGGTTGGCATACACGTAGTAGTATATTGTTCATTTCATTAGCTGATTGTATTATACGTGTGACGTCATAATTCACCATTATTGTTCTTTAGATTATGGATTACACTTTCGTCTACAACGGAGAAGTATTTGCTGTTAAAGAATCCTCGCCCCAGTTTGATAAATTGTACGAAGAAGAAGAACAAGTTTCACAACATGAGAAAATGAATACGATGCCTCTATGGATTGGTATTATTGCATGTGCTGGTTTCATTGTTATTATCACCATTATCATAGCAGTGGTGAGTTATTAAAATTGACGTTAAATACTGCTTTGATATCAGTGTTTTGCACGAAACAATGTGTACACAATTTATTGGAATGGTTTTCTGAAATCAAAACGAAAAGCCATCACAACATACCACGACAGTCACAGTGAAATTTTCTCTTTGTGCAAATATTTCATTCATAGTAGCATATCTACTATTCACTTCGTTAATCACAATGTCTCAATTATTACAGATTGCTTGTTCCAGAAATAAATCAAAGCAATCAAAATATGAATACGAAGTTGAAAAGGTATGTGAATTTATAGTTAGAGAAACATGGGGTTCGAGCAGATCGAAATGGCGTGTTATGAACACCGCCCACAGTGATATTATGATATCAATCTGGTCGAATTTATTTTTAAGGAACCAATATCATTTTTTCGCATATAAGTTTTCCTAACAGAAAGTTGACCTTGTTTTTTTCCTAACAGAAGGTTGTACCGACTGTAAGCGCCCAGGCCTATGGCAACTGCATCTACGATGACGCATTCCTGAAGAAAGAAAAATCTTTGAATGTGTAGATTCAAGTTGGAATAGTAAACCCGGCTATTGTCAGCGAGTAATCCCTCGTAGCATGGAATACAGGGTGCGTGAATGAGTATGGCAACTTAATACTGTAATATAAAAAGTATTTTTTGTCTATAGTTCAAGGGCAATGTATGAATTTTGTTTTAACTTGACATGGCATCTATCTGCTAGACATCTCAACGTGTGAAGAATAGGGCCTAACAGTGTTTTATTCACTATTATTGTAAATTTAATAACAGTTATATACTAATATGGCAGGAAGTTATGTCACTGTCCTTATTATCCATATCGAAGTGTTCTTGCAGGTGCAGCTCATTTGATGAGTTACTGCTTGACACATAACATCCCAGCCTATCTACATTGTATAAATAATACTATACACGTATATCATTTACAATTTCAGTTTTTTTTAATGAAATGTACCTAGTAATTACATAATTATAAATTTTACACAATCTTTGTTAAAGCATGAAGAGTCTGATTGATTGTTCATTACATCACTACATGTGATATTTATACCATGAATACTGTATTAAGATCAGGGGGTCGTAAACATGATTCACCAGTAACAAACAACGTGTTTAAGGACAACGGTAAACCGTCTCAATTTGTCTTTCGAATTGTACTTAATGATAGTGTTCTGTGAATTTAAAATTCACAACGAACCTTTAACATGCACTTATAATGTATTTGGTATTGTTACACCCTGCTTCCTTTATTGATCTTCGAATATTATAAAATATGTTATTGATTGTTTGATTTTTAGGTATATACACCATAAAATTCACACTTACATATAAACCATACATATGCAGTTTGTTTGTTTTTATATATAAACTATTATCAGTGATTTTAACAAAAATTATATTCAATAAATATAAGATATTGTACGTCATAAGCCTTATATACTATAAGTAAAACAAAAAAAGTATATAACATTACGTCATATCAAGATAAATCACTTGACAATGATTTGTGTGTGTTTAAATCCAATAAAAATATGACATATGACATTAAGGTAAAGATCACGAAATGTATAGCGCCATCTTGTATTTGATTGAGTGATTCAAAGCATGTGTAAAGCACAGTACAATTTCCCTAATAAATATTGGAGAATAATTTCAATCAATTTTGATTGTAGTAGTTTCTTGCTGTCTGTATCGGTGTAGATAGACTTCAGACGACCAAAACTTGGTGTAGTCGGATTCCAGATGACTAATAGATTTGTTGATGTTCGATACTCATCATCATCTTCAATAATCCTCCTCTCTCTC